TTTTTTTTTCAGCATTCTGGTCCAAGGAACAGTCTTCAGAAGGGTTCATGTACAAAGTCAGGCGGGAAGGATCTTTGACACCTGTTCTTTTTAATCCTGGCTCTGCTTGTTGTGTTTAAATATGCTCTTGCAAAGACTGTCTTTCCAGCATTGTACCACTTCATCTTTAATTAAGTTTTTCATGGTACTCCTTTTCGTACTTTTTGGAAGCACAACTTTCCCCACAAAACTTTATAGAATTTGACTAAACAGTTTCTGTCAGTACGGGAGACAGAACTGTCTGTTTCATTGGTCTATACATGAGATTTCTTCTTAATTAAAACCTTTTGAAATGCTTTACAAATAGGATGAGCCACATAAAACTTTCTGTTTACTGGGAAGATACAAGCACAATGTTGAAGAGAAGGCGCGAAAGACAAGCTGCTGGTAAGAGGTGCAGGATATTATGTGCCATGCCTTTAAAGGAAGTTAATGTTCAGCACTGTTGTACTGTCTGACGACAGAAGATTGTGTGTGGATGGTTCAAACTGTCTCCCATAGTCCTGCCGGACCCAGTCCTGTGAATTGGGACCTCATGGGGTGCATGTCTATTTCTGCTCCCAAGTCTCTGTGCCTAGTGAAAGGTGATCAGGTACGTCTGAGACGACGTGTGATGGTCGGAGAAATGTCTTGGCTGGCAGAAAAACAGATATTCTGAGTCGAAGGGGCCAGCTTCCAGCAGGCTCAGCCAGGACAATGTGCCTTCTCCAACTAGTGAGACTATAATTCTGGTGTCTTTCTGGTTGTTTGCTTTTGAGCCTTTATCAGTGCTTCTGTCCTGGTGATATATTCCCAGAGTTTCATCCAGACTTTAACATACAAATAATATCTGAACTGAAATTTCACAGGCTGGTGATATATTTTGTGAAGATGTGGTTGGGCTGCAGCAGATGAAGACAGCTGCTAATGAAAGCTATTGCTGTGCCAGCATGTACCTGAAGACAAATGTTAGGCCCAACATGCATAAGGCATCTGGTTTTATTCCAGTGGCATACGGCAGCTTCACGCCCTTAACAAGAAGTCACCCTCACAGCAGCATCAGCCAAGGGCAAGGTCAATCAGCCAAATGTGGAGGGAATTACACGTTTTAATGTCTTCTCTAACCAAGAATGTGCTCTGCAATCACAAGGAGTACTCATAACGCTTGGGTAATTTTGCAAAGTGCAAGTATACAGCTGCTCAGTTGTCATTAAATCTCCCACACTCATACATGACTGTGCTGTAAAAAGGTAAGACAGGCAGTGAGTTACAGGCGATGATTGCAGGGTGACTAGATAGGCCTCCACAAGACATACGCCTATAACTTGCAATTCGCAGGGCTGCTCAGTACATGAGCCAGCCTGCTGTACTATATCACCCTTCCCATAAACGGAAGCCAAAATATAAAGTTGCTATATACTTGCTCAGGCACTTGAAACTGGTGGGTGTAATGATCCAGACACGTAGCCTGCTGACACACTGTTAGAGTCAATGAAAGAGGAGTAACGAAATGTGTAGGGGTAGACCTTAGCAATCTGAAATATGCCAATTAAAAAAAAAAAACCAACTCTGGGTAAACAAGTATGGGAAATTACTTCTGATTCTGTTTTGGTTGGATGGAAAAAAAAAAAAGGTGTTTTTCACAGTTACAGGTGAGAGAAGGCTATTGGCACCTATGGGCACCATTAACACTCCTCAGGGAAAACAGAAATTCACCTCTCCCTGCTACGAATAAAGTCACCTTGAGAGATAACCATCAGGTACTCAAAGAGCAGAATGAGTGACACTTTCTCAGCATCTGGTGCCTGTATGTTAGTTTTTCAGGTTCGTAGGAGGAAGCCTTGGTGTACCAGGAGCCTGATGCAAAACAAATTTCTTCCTTTAGACGAGCAGCGTGTTAAGGGGCACATGGCAGCAGACCCCTGCAGACCCGTGCTCGGCTGGGGAGCTCCAGCTCCGGGGACTTTTGGCTGTGGAGGAGGCAGCCCCCACTGCCACGCTGCTCCCCCACTCCCAGGTCCTTATCAGCGTCGTGCCCCGAGGGGTGGCGGAGGCTGGAGTGGCGCAGGGGTGAAGCCGCCGAGGCCAGTTGCAACTGCACCATTTGTTTTGGTTTTGGAGTCAACTGTGAGGAGTGAAAGGTCTAACGGCTCTGGGGCCTGCAAAGCGTTTGATAAATATTTCTCTTTGAGGGTCTTCCCCCTGTCCCAAAGTGGCTGCATACAGAGAGGGGACATGCATGAACTGGTGGCCACAGATGTCTGTTTTGCTGAGACGTGCCATGTTTGACTGAGTGTCCCGTAAAGAGTTAGCATGACGCTGGAGAGCAAGCATTGCTGTTTGCTATAAACAAACCTTACCCAAGTGCCTGTAATTGCAGTGTTAGAAGGTTGGCCAGGCCTACAAGGTAGCAGGGGAGGAAAATAATGCTTTCTTTTATCTGTTCCTGCAAACAGCTGGAGACAGATAAAAGCGGAGACAGTATTAACCTAAGCAAAGATTATGACTGTGTGCTTTCCTTTGTTCCTCAGTGCTTTCTGTTTTCTTCCTTCTTAGCTATATTTTTATTTGTGAGTGAGACTATGCATAGGACAGCTTCTGAATGCTTCCCCCCCCCCCCTTCTTTTTCTCCTTATCCTTAAGGAGATACCTGTTTCTCCTCAAACCCAATTCCTGTGGCTGCAGTCTGCTTCAGAGGTATGCAAGGAGAACAGGCTCTGTGCTCCGTTCTGCCTACTCATGGCAACTTCCAGAGCCCTGAAACAAAGACCAGACAAACATCTTCCACAACTAACCATTACTGAGGATATGTTTTACTGTAGTATGTCAGATGTAAAACAGTCCTGATGCGATCATTTTCAGATTTTCCAGTAACATAGAACGCAACGGCATAAGATAGAAAGAAAAAAGGAATTGTTATCTTAAAAACAAACAAAAAACTTCAATCACTTCTTCCAGGTACACAGGTGAAAATTTTCAAATCCTGACATTCAGAGTGGGTACTGACATTACACTGACATTAATTAGAATCACTTACAGAGCTAAGTTCCCCATGCAACACTTTGAAATGCCGCTTCTAATTAGATGCCTTGGACTGATGTTTTAGTACAGCAGGAAAATGTTGCTCTGCTAGACTTTTCAATTGCTCTAATTTTTCAAGTCATACCGACCCAATAATGTATAGCTCCATCAGGGTGTTTCTTGCAGGCACATAGGCTCATCTACATGAGGAGTTATTCCAGATCAGCTTTTCCTGATTAAATCTGCTGTGGATGTTACAGCAACAGAAATAGCTCCTCTGCTGTAAAACCTGTATTAGACTATCTTTCCTTTCGTTAATTGCAATCTTTTATGGCTCTGTATGTTTTCTGTACCGATAAAAAATAAGTATTACTTCAGATATATTTTTACTGTACTTTTCACGTATTTTGCTGCTTTCTTTCAAAAAGCAAAGCCTATTTGAAGCATATTACAAGCTGTATTTCTTACAGACTTCTCAGGTATGCTTTATGGCAAGCCACGATGTTTTTTCATTCCTGCAATTTCAACATCTGATAAATAAAGGCATGACTATTCTCCTCCAGCTGTTCTCTTTGATATTTAATTGTCCTAAGCTGGTACCTTTTCCAAGTCTATGGAAACACAGACATATGGGTACCAATGAGTTTGCAGGAAATAATGAGAAAAGGACCATTTCTGGTCTAGCATATCTTATGCAAAGAGTGAGAAACCTTACTCTTTCCACTCAAGTCTAGGGTGTGGAAAAGAATCCTTTGCAGTCTTTAGCATTAATATGTTTTTACAGAATGACTCCCTATAAAAGTGTGTTACTGAATAATCATAGATTCAAAGACAGCCACCATATTATGTCATTTGTTGGTGATACATCCTTCTCTGCTTGATAACTGGATTGTTGTCTTGATTTGCGGCACCAAAGAAATAAAGATATTTTAAGAATTAAGTATTTTGAACTTTTTAAAGTCATTAAGGTTTTTATACATCAATAATATCTTTTAAGCCAACAAAATTATAAATATGATTGTTTTTGTGTGGTAGCTCCACACTCAAATGATGAAGGTTCGTTTTATGCTTCTCTTTGCAATTATTTGTTTTTAAATATTTTTCTGGTTTTTATAAGCTTGCACTACAAATACAGTTACACGTTCCAAATATTTTTAGTTTTGCAGCCTAGAAATACTCATATTTAAATGACGTATAAATCAAGACAGGTTTCCCATAGAAAAAGTTAAAGTGGTTGCTTTTTTGCTGACCTTTTAAAAAGAAAAGAGGAGGTCATATTTCTAGAATGTGAAATAAAATAAACTCCTAAAGACAAACAAGTATCAGCTATGTGTTTTCAAGAAACATATGCTGCCTGCCTAAGATTATACATACATACAATTTAGCTATAATAAATAACAATATAAACTGAAGAACTACCTAACTTTTAAAGCTCTTCTGTGTATTGAAGAGATTCTCCTCATCTCTTCAAATTTCAGATCGTTCATTCTACCCTGCCCTTTTCTTACTGTTTTGTTACAGGATACAATACAATGACAAATGATAGATAAGAATTTTCAAGCTCAAATCAAGCCAAACTAAAAGCTCTTCAGAAATGAAATCAGCTTTATTTGTTAAAATAGTTGTACTGTGTACAAAGGAAATTACTATAATTTACAATACTTAAGGCATAGAACATTGGGGGTCTTTTTGCTTCCACTGGAAGAACAGTATTTTAGAACTAAAGAATCATTAGAATCAGACATTGATAGCAGTAATAAAATAATAATATAATAATAAATACTTCACATTCATATAATCTGAATTTATAATAACCGAAGCATTTCAGCATTAACTAATACATCTTAAAAGTTGCCTCTAGCATGTAGGTAGAATTGTTTTCTGTAGCTCACAGAAGAAAAAGGTTGTATGACTCATGGTGAGGGTTACATCAACCCTAGGGCATTCCCCTTTTTCCAGTTTCACAACTGCCAGCAGCAGAGCTCCAGGAGGACTGTGAGCAGGCAAATCAGTGGAAACACCGTTTGCTGTAATCTTAGCCCATTAGAATATAGCCTCGTAATCTCCTCCTTTTCTGATTTCAGTTCTAAAAAATATCAAGAAAAAAAACGGTTAATGAGTAACGTATGTACATGTTAAAACATAAAGCTTTTCAACATACTTTGAAAGTCCTCTGACATCTCACAGGTACTTAAGTTAAAAGTATCAGCTGTTAAAGCCAATCAAGGAGGCTATTCTCAGGGAAGAGATGTGAATAGATGTCCCATCAATGATCGTTTGAGGAGCAACTGATAGCACTTATCAGCTCCTGCAGACATTAATCTCAGAATAATCAAAAGTAAATACCAAGCAAAAGCAAGAGCAAAATCTTCACAAGAGGTATGCACTCAAGTCTGCATGTAGCCTTTTAACCCTTCCTTTAACAAGAAGGCTCTTCATTCATTAGCACAAGCAGAAAGCCATACCCTCATGCATGTGAAAGCCAACGAGTCCCTGCTCAGAGGATGAGCAGAGGATTCTCCACTGCCACCTTTATCGCCTTTGTTAAGGTGAGCTCAAGAGCAGTAAGCAGTAGACTGCTTTTACTGAGCATGGGGATGCCTGTTAGGTCTTTTGCTCCTGTAGTGGGAAACAATAGGGCTGATTCAAAGGTGAACACCCACGGGAACTTGAGATTTTAACTCTTCCGAAGAACTTAACGAGCAAGTTGGGTGGCACGCATGATTTAGTCAACACAGAAGACTTCAAGGCAAAGGCAGTTTTGATGGGGTTTGTGGGTTGGGTTTTTTTTTGTGTGTGTGTGTTTCTGTGGTTGCAAAGATAGGAAAGTCACCTATCTTTTGCATTTCACTGATTTGGAGAGTCACAGCTTCAATGCACTGCTACTCAGATAGGAATCTGGGCAGTAAAGGGAAGGCTGGTAGTTTCTTTCGGTGCAAATGAATCTTGAAGCTATTTAAATCTGTTATTTTTGTACCCTGCTAACTAGTGATGTGGTACAACTGAAAGAACTAGTGATGTGGTACAACTGAAAGAAAGTGTCAGATTGAGACATCATGGATGGAGAAGGGTAAGAACATTTTGCACTAACTTTTCCACTGCAGATAAAATAATATTAAACTATTATTAGCCATCTCAGTTTATTGAAAATATTATGGATCTCAGTAGCTCCATGGAAAATGAGTACCTGTAAAGCAACCCTTCAAGTTTTTATGCTAGCTGATTCAAAAAATCTCAAACTGTTTCAAAAAATACTCAAACCTTTATATAGGGATTTTCCCAGGCTGATGTGTAAAGACTTGACTTAATAAGAGTGCTTTTGAGGAGGACTGGGTGCTACTACTTTACGCTGAGATCAGGACTATGGCTACACGTTTTTTTGTGGAGTGTGCTCAGTCTTAGAACTTTGTACAAGAATATTTTGACGATTAAGATACAGATCTTAAAATAAGGTTCAGCATGGTTTTCTGCCTTTTTTGTGTTAAGTAGCTTATGCAAGAGCAAGCAAGTTTTCAGCACATATTTCTGTAGAGTAATACTGGTTTCTACTTCTACCACACCAGCTTACAGTACTGGTTTTTCTCTTTCCTTCTCTACGACCAATTTTTGTATGCTTAGATGTAGTTTAGTTGTACAAATTGTCCTGGTTAAGTGGGAAGTCAAAGGCACATGCAGGTTTTGCAGAATAGAGCAATATTTAATCCCCGTAATTTTATATTAAAATGTGGGAAAGGTTCATACTGCACAGGTTGATAAAGATCTCAAAGTATTTTGCGTGATGCACTATACAGGCAGCGGCAACACTATTTACTGCCACACTAATGCATTCTCTGAAGCAAAGTAGGCTACTCCGGAAGTCTAAGTAGAGCACATACAGCATCCTCCGAGTACCTCCCCTTGGCAGAGGCAATTCTGCTACCCACGAGATAAAAATGGTTGATTTAAGGTCATTCCTTACCACAGTTATCGTGCATTATTTCGGAGAGGCAGTTCAGAGTGCCATAGCCACATCGACACAGCCAACAGCCCTTCAGCACCCAGGCGCCATGGGCGATGCTGCCGCAGTTGCTGTCAAGGACAAGGGAAACATTTGGTACATCTTCGATGCCATCACAGAAAACAAGCACCCAGAGCAGCTCTGGTTTCTCACTTTCTCTGGTTTTAGTCTGGTTTTTACCTTTGCCGCTCATCGTGTTCACAGTATCTGCCAGTGAAATGCTTTAAGCAGGCACAGAAGGCCCCCAGGATACAGGTCCCTCCGTTTTGGCAGCAGTGTCTGTTCAGTTTTTTACCTGCAAGACAATATTACAGAGGTTACCGAGCACACTGGGGGCTCTGAACCTCCCCTTTTCCTCACTTTATTCTCTCAGGTCCCTCCGGTTGCCAAAGGACCTTAAGGATATCCAGTTTTATTGTCTTTAGAGACAATAAAATTATCTGCCTGTTAGTCGTGTTTGTTCAGTTAAGCCCAGTTTGTTTAGTTAAGGATTAAGAGCAACTACTAGGGATTACAGGACGGTCAAGAAGCAACGCCTGGCAAGTCCCGTAGCAGCAGCAGCATCATATATTCAAGTGAAATATTTCACTTTGACGGAGGCAGGTTTCGGTCACACTGAGAAACAGGGCACTGTTACCGGGAAGCGCTGCTTATTTTTGGAGAGAGGAGCCTTTGTTAACTGGGAAGAGTTGCTTAGTTTTGAGAAGGCAGGGGAAGGCTCCCTCAAGCCTTTTGCAGTCTCCTGGAATTATGTACCAATCTAAAACTTCATGTACGTGGACGGAAACATAAGCCTGTCCTTGTTTTTCTTTTGTTAGTGCTGTTGCTTTCAGACAGCTCAAACTTTTTTTTTAATTTAATAATTTAAGTAATGAAATATGGTGCATTTTAAAATTGAACTGAATTTTACAAAAGTTTGCAAACACTTTTGCAAATCCAAGGGACCAACTCCTTCTTTATTCCTAGTATCCTTCCCTGCTTTCCGTTACCACCTTTTGCAGGTGAGAGATCCTCGGTTCTATCTTAAATTTTTAATCACCATTTCCTAAGTGACCACGAGAATAATTTAAATGAACGGCCACAGAAAACCAACCGGCTGGAATCTTCCAGGACAACAATAAAAGCATTACTGTGATAAAATATTTTAAAAAGCAATTTTATGGCATTGTTTAAATAAGTAATGTTACCTACTCTCTGTAATCCCAGTGAAAGGCACCAATGACCTGGAATTCTGTTGCTTTCTGCTTTCGTAGCTCTGATTCATGTCACTGAGAGCATTTATAATAGTCCCTTCGTTCTTGGGCTGTTGCTTTTGTGCTGTGGCATTGAGACTTCTCACATCTTCTTCACGTTCTTCTTTTTCACGGCCTTGAAAAGAAGTGCAAATATGGAAGAGAAAGGTAGGTTGTAATGAAGCAACACGTACTGAAAATGTACAAGAAGAACATGGGAGGCGGGGGAAACACGAAATTTTCCTTACCTTTTCCTAAATGAAGAGCCTGCCAGACCAGAGTCACAGTGAATAGAATTCTACAAAAAAAAACCACCACCAACAAACCCAAAGAGGTGAAATAAATTTGTGCTGATAAGACACACAAACAGCAAAACAAAGATTGGCGGGGGGAGGGAGCTTTTTCAGAGCTTTATCAGCCATTGATAATATAAACTATAAATATTTTATGCCAGCAGTAACTCGATTTAACACATCGAAAGTCTCAAATTAAGCCTGGAAACTGGGGGGAGGGGCGGGGCAGGCAGAGAACAGAGACATAGAGATTAAGCTTGCTTCCAGAAAGCTACGGATTCCATAGTTTGCTGCTTTGGTAGTCAAGATTGTCTCTTTCTGTACATTCCTTTACCACAGCTAGGTTTCTGCCAGCAGTTACGAATGCAGCTAAGGCAAGAGGAAAACATCAGCCTTCAATTCATTCGCAGTTGCAGGTACATTTATTCCTTTCAGCTTTCTGGTCTGATTATCAAACAAACAAAAAAAACCCCAAACAAAAACCCAATCAAAAAAAACCCCACTGCTAAAAGGGAAAAAGCACCCTTGGCTCTCTAGCCAAGGTCCCTGGCGGCTCAGGCAGCCTTACCTAACATGATTTCCCAGGTACATTTTCCTGCAGCCTGGAATGCTGGTGAGATCCGCCAGGAGAGCTGGAGCAGAAGGCAGCGGTCCGGAGCGCTCACCGGAGGCCGTGGCGGGCAGCTGCCCGCACGGCAAAGCGGGAAGGAGAGCGCAGGGCGGAGGGAACTTTTCTCCTTCTGTCCCGTTTATGACAAAGTCCAGGAGACATCGTTCCCGGCGGTGCCGCTCGCTGAGCCCTCACGGAGGTCCTGGCGGGCAGGAACCATCTCTGCAGCTGAGACTCGCCAGCCTGCCCTCGATTTACATTCACGGCTGAAGGAAGGGTGGAGCAAAGTGGGGGCACCTACTGCCGGGGGGAGACTTAAGGGCCCATGACCACAAAAAAAGTCCAAGACAGGAAGATCTCAGCTTGAGTTTGTTTCTTAACACAAAAAACCTTGTTACCACCACATGCACAGGGAAGAAAAGGCTGTTCTGCAGAACTCCAACAGGTATATAATGAACTGCAGCAGGTATATAATGAAGGTTACATTACCTTCGTACCTTGTCTCCACCAGGGGTTTCCACAGGGGTCCCTACTTTATGAAACCATACCACTTTGCAGCACAAATAATCCTTGGCGCCTGCATTACAGATTTCTACCAAAAGTCCTACAGAAAGCAAGATAAGGTTGTCGACAGTTTTGTTTTCTCACAAGAGCTGTTAATAAACTCTTGAAATATTTTTTGAAACTTTTTTACTATTACTAAAATTAGACCCATTAGTGAGCATTCCTAGTTTGAGTCTATGCAATATCACCAGATACCTAGATTTAACTTATCATGTGCGCTGAAATGGGCTAGGACCATCCACACAACTTTAGTACAGACCAGCATCATCAGCAAAAAGACCTGCAGCTGGACAGTGGTAAAAAAGCAGCTTTGGGCAGTCTTTTGTCAAATGGCTCTACCCGTATCCCAGAGTGCACGTGTGGTTTACCTTAGTTATAACAGGAAACCAGGGCAACACAGCTTTTTTTTTTTATTGTTTTGGGTGGGCATGTGGAAGAGGAATGCTTTCGCTATGCCAGTGCAAATCAAGTTAGTACAAATTGCACCTTGGCTAGATATATGGATCACATATATCGGTCACATGAGTCAGACCTTCACTGGAGAAATAGCTAGAGACATTGTCATCTCTTGTTGTCTGTAAATCTCTGTGGCTGACATTTGTCAGCTTTGCCTTGTCTAACTAAGAGTTTGGAAGCCTTGAACACTCCTCGTCCAATTTGGTACAAAGGCTGGCTTAATTTACAAAAAGAGCTGTCTGAATTAAGTCAACCTGCTTGGCACTGAAGCAGATGGAGAGTGTTCTGAGGATATACTCTTTCATGTCTCCTATGGGGACACCTATCTCCAACAAGAGGATAGAAGTGCATGGGTGGAGATGTGAAACGGCTGTTTCTGCAAGGAATTCTTGTAGGACGTTTTCTTCTGGGCTACATCAATCTTAGTGGACAAGGCATTCCCAGTGCTGGTACAACTGTAGACTTCAATTGATGTAAACTCAACCATTTTCTTGTAGATGTAGGCTAACTCCTTTAGCTTTTTGGTGACTAGTTTCATGGTGTGTTTTATGTTTATTGCCAACTTAAACTGATTTTGATGAAGCTACTCTTATTCCAGACTTGTACCGAAGTATCATGCCTTTTGGAATTGAGAGTCTGTGATGTACGTTTGTGTGTAATTCAGCTAAATCAGCGCTAGAAGAATTTATATGCTAACATTTGTAGGTGAGATATTTAATAGATAGATTGTTCTGATAAAAATCACAACATGTTAATTCAAGAAATGATTTTGGTTTTGCTGTCTCAAAAAGCAGCAATTTTGGACAGATGTATTACTCTCACCAGTGTGCTATCTACTTCTACCTGCTGTGATTCACAAGAACTTCTAAACTAAACATGTTAAAGGTTTAGGTACTTGCTTGAAACCTATCACGTGTGTTCAAGTACTGTCATGACAACAGATGCCATTCTGAATTAGGACTGTAAGCTGTTTCACACAAAATGAAAGGTGTCATTTCTGTATGTATTCACAAAGTGTGTATGTTTATTTTATCAACATATGAAAATGTTTACTTGTGGAAAATACTTACCATCTAAAAAACTCTTGCTTCCATTTAAGTTTTCCAGCTGTATAATGGGATTAGTATTTTGAGTTTTGAAAGAACAGCTGTAGTTACATTTGTTTGCTGTTTTTTGTTACTATATTAGGAAAAAAAAATATTCATTTTCAGTTTGGTCTAACTGGTAGTATCACTTTAAATTACAATATTCGGACGCTGAAATGCCATCGTTTAGCATCTAGTTTATTGGTTTTCCCCTTCCCAGAGATTGAAGGCAGAAAAAATAAACAGAGATAAGTAAACACAAGAACATCACACTTACTGTTTTTTTTTACTAAATGCAGTGTCAATATAGTTGTCCTCAAGAGCTTTTTTGGGTATCAGATTCCCAGCCCTATACTGGAGGTAACTTTCAAAATGGGGATGCTGGTAAAGAAATATTGATCAATTTTCACACCCTGTGCCATTTGTTTAAGACCAGAAGTCATCTCTGTAACTGCAAGAGCTTACAACCTGGGAAACTGTAAAGCAGTTGATAAACATTTCTCACTGTGATACCTTGTTCCTTCCTTCCTCCTCCCTCACCAGCAGCCTCACCAGCAAGGCACACATAGGAAGGGGGAAAATGTAAATTGCTCAGATGCTGCTGTTGCCTGACTGCCCTATAGAGATGAGACTGCTGTGACACTGCTGAAAAGCACTGCTGTTCGTTGTTGACAGAATCTGTCCAAAAGTGATTGTTTCTGCCCAGGGAGCTGCGGTAAGCGTAGATGCACCCCCTTTATCAGCTTCAAGTAAGATAAGAGTGGAGCCAACCAAAGAGCTGGTACTGAGCATTTCAGCCAAGCCCTGTGGACATAGGAGACGGTTAACCATTAGTTAAAGGCCTTTAGTTCTGTTAGTTCCACAGCAGATCAAGTAGCCTATATGGGTAGGGGTGGTAGGAAAACACGGTGTTACTTTATTAGTCCATATAACCCCTCTTGGGCTTGTCCAGGGAACTGTAGGTCTGCAGCCTACATCTGGCGTTGTTTCCCACCGTGGAAGCGGAGCACTACACTGAAAGATGAAGTGTGGATAATACGTGATGTTTTTTGATATATTAGTATTTCGCGCCAACTGCATTCCTGTGTAGATACTCAATATTTCTGAGAGCTTCAGGATCAATAGATGCCTAAGGACTGGAGGTAGCAATGGAAAAAAAAGGAAACAAAAATGAGGAAAATATGGGTGTCTTTGGCTTCCTGGGGGCTGTGCTGAAAAGCCTGATCAGGGGTATGAAAAGTTCAACCATGGCCAGTGGCAGCCGAAGTATCTGCTGACTTGAAAGCTTTAAGTTCCCTAGCTTAGGGCTAGGACTAGATGTCTAACCAGCTTGGGTAACATTAAATCAGTTATGCAGAATATTATGGAAAACAATAGAAAACAATTATTCCCCCTGGATATTTACTGAAATCTTTGAAACAGAGACTTCCATGGAGAAAAACTGTCAGCCTGGGTGACTTACAGTTCTCTGAGGAAAGGGCAGACCCCGGGCAGTCTATGCCGGCAGCCCTCAGAGTGTGCTTAACTCATTAAATGGTAAGGATCCTGGATGGAAAGATACAATACTAGCCAGCCTGAGATTTTTATTTTTATTTATTTTTTTTGTTGGCTACAGCTGCTGCTAGGGCTTCTGACAGCTACCCAGGTGTTCTTGTTTTCTGAAGGCTGTGTAAAACTAAACCGCAGTCAGACTGAGTGATTTTTATGGTGTCACAGAACTTTCTTGACAGAGGCTGGTCAGACCAGGTCGTATTACTGTCAGGAATTTCCTGTAGGATCATGTAGGGGTTGCTGTTGTTACCTCTTCATCTCTGAGTACGTATGAAGTAGAGATCATACACAGGCACAAGACTTGCAGTGGTTCAAATGAGCCGTATGAATGACTTGAGCAGCTTTTTCACTCCAGGTTGAGAATGGCTTACATTGGTTCAATTGGAATCTGCCACTAATTGACTTCAGGAAGTAAGAAGCAGGAAAATAAGATAATCCACACAGTAACTGGCACCAGTTTAACTAATGCCACAGGTCCTTGATCAGCTTAAGCAGGATAAATGGCTGCTGCTGCTACTACAAGGATGAGTCTCCCTCTGTCTTACACCATGGACTATTTGTTTGTACTGCCTTCCTTACACTGCCATTACTGTTTGTGCAGCCTTGAGTGAGCTGGAACAGGGAGTTTATCTGAATGAAAACTCAGCTGGCACAAAAAAATGGTTAGCTTTCAGCTGGATCAGTTCCCTGATGTGCTTCACCACATGAGCACTAGTGCTGGCAGAAGCAAGAGGCAGGGATAAGCGGCCACGGCTGTGTGACGGGCAGCCCCTTTCTGTAGCAGAGCTGATTTATACCAGATTAAATTGACTGTGGAATTTGTAAATAGATTTCAGTTCATAAATTTAAACAGGTGTTCCCCTCCCTAGGAAGTAAACCACAGCCAATATATCCATATGATAATGATACCACCTTCTATGCTCTCATCCTATTAGCACTGACTAATACAGAGGAGTAGAGCAGTCATCCCTCTTTCTGATAGCATATGGGTGAAGGTTAGTATAAACAAGATGGGAGCACTATTATCAAATGAAAGGAAACCGCTACAGCAGTCACTTGTGGAGCAACCTTATGCAGATGTTGTACAAATATGTAATGCCCTGTCACAGGCTGACATAAACTCATGGAATAAAATCAGCCTCATAGCAGAGCATCTTGTAGGTTTTCCTTCTACCGAGCCTAACCTTTAGTCATTAAATGTAATGAAAAAAAATCAATATGATAATGAAAGAGATTTTTAATGAAAATGAACGTAGTTTATGTCTTTTGGGTACAGAAATAAAAATAAAATAAAAAATTCTACTGCTACACAGGAGAATTGATAAGAAGATCTCAGTTATCTTCCTCTGAGGGAAAGTTTCTTTGTCAAACGAATCAATATGAACACCGAGAGACTGCAAGAGTGACACTTCTTTCTTCTTCTTCGTCAAATAAGAGAAGTTTTGATATTTTATTGAAGAAAAAGGAAGTACTGCGGAAGAAGTTTTGCACAATTATTTATTTTAA